TTTATTTTATAACTTCATATGAAATCAGCTAATCATGATGCCAGGTACATAGTTGATTTACTCATAATAATTGAGTGGATATTGTTGAATGTAACATATTCTAGAGGAGGCAGAAGTTCCTGTTTATGTGGACTTTTTCAGCCTTTGTTAAATGCACAGAATAAAAATAAATGATGGTGTAATAAGGTCAGTTTTAAAATCTAGTTACCAGGTTAATGATGCTGATTTGTCTTTATTTTCTAAATAACCTATTTATATCAGTGGAGTTAATTCAGTAGAAAGGATTTGTTGGGTACTGACTTGATAAGCATTTGTTGAGTAGTGACTATGAGTAATGCTAAAACCATACCATCCAAAGTTAGTAAAACAATTCTGAGCATTTGAGGAAAAACTATTAACCATTCTTTATATGACTTAATCTATACCTTCATCATAGCTCCCTGTGCGTATAAGCAGGAGGTCGGACTAGTACTGTGTTTCTTGCTGACTTATTACTAAGAATTACCTGGGAGGCTATTAAAACTTCTAATTCCCAGGCTTTTGTTATAGAGATTCTGATTCAGCAGGTCTGGTGCAAGGCCTGGGAATGTGTATTTTTAATACACCACCTACCCCACCCCACCACTGCCCAGCTGGATGATTTTTATGATCAGGCAGGTTTGGAGATCACTGGATTTAGTTTCTTTGGGAAATGCCATCAGTGCATATCTATTCCATCTTTTCATTTCTTAATCACGGCCTTTTATAGCTGACTGTGCATGTAAAATGCAAACTTTGAACACCAAAAATCATGGATCTCAGTCTTCTGACTGCTACCACACCTAGTTTTGAATGCCTGCATTTTGTTTATCTTTTTAAACTAAACTTTTTATTTGAGATTGTAGATTCTCATGCAGTCGTAAGAAATAACAAGGAGAGATCCCATATACCCTTTACTCAATTTCCTCTAACAGTAACACTTGCAAAACTAGAGTACAATGTCATAACCAGGATATTGACATTGATACAGAAAAGAGACATTTCCATCCATACAAGCATCTCTCACTTTGCCCTTGTATAGCCACACCCTCTTCCCTTCCACACCCAGCTCACTACTTCAGCTTTAACTCCAGCAACCTCTAATCTGTTCTCCATCTTATAATTTTGTCATCTCAAGAATATTCTATAAATAGAATTGTACAGTACATAACCATTTGAAATTGGCTTTTATTTATTTATTTATTTATCTATTTTCTGACCGGTAAGGGGATCGCAACCCTCGGCACAGTGTGATCTGCACCATGCTCAGCCAGTGAGCGCACCGGCCATCCCTATATAGGATCCGAACCCGCGGCCTCGGCGCTATCAGCGCCGCACTCTCCCGAGTGCGCCACGAGGCAGGACTGAGATTGGCTTTCTTCACTCAGCGTAATTATCTGAAGAGTCATCCATGTTGTGTGTATCAATAGTTCATTCTTTTTTTTTGCAGAGTAATATTCTGTGGTGTATATATAGCAGAATTTAACCATTCACCTATTGAAGGATATTTGTTTCATTTTCACTTTTTGGCTGTTACTAATAAAGCTGCTGTGAACATTCATGTACAAGTTTTTATGTGAACATAAGCTTTTCATTTCTTTGGAATAAATGTCCAGGAGTACAATTGCTGGCTTGGATATTAGTTGCATATTTAATTTTACATTCTCATGAATGGCTATACCATTTTACATTCTCATCAGCAATGTATAAGTGATCCAGTTTCTCTGTATCCTAGCCAGCATCTGGTGTTATCACCATTTTTATTTCCACCATTCTGATAGGTGTCTAGTGATCTCTCATTGTGGCCTTAATTTACATTTTCCTCATGGCTAGTAATATTGAACATCTTTTCATGTACTTATGTACCATCTGTATATCCTCTTCAGTGAAATGTCTGCTCCCGACTTTTGCCAATTTTCTAATTATATATATATGTGTTTTACTGTTGAGTTTGTTCTTTCATAGAACAAAAGTTTTTAATTTTTATGAAGTCCAATTTTCTCTTACACGCATGCATTGTACTTTTGCTGTCAAGTCTAAGAACTCACTGCCTAACTCTGGATCCCAAGGATCTTTGGGATCTCCTAAAAGTTTTATAGTTTTACATTTTATATTTAAGTTTATCATTCATTTTGAGTTAATTTTGGATCTTAGGTTGAGGTTCATTTTATTGCTGTAGGTATCCAATTGCTCTGGCAACATTTGTCGAAAAGGCTGTCCTTTATTGAATTGCTTTTGCATTTTTTTCAAGTCAGATGGGCATATTTACATGGGTTTATTTCTGGGTTCTTTGGTTCAGTGATTTGTACGTCTATTTATATGACTGTGTGTTAGTACCACATGATCTTGATTACTATGGTTATATGATAAGTCTTGAAATCAGATAGGCTGATTCTATTTTATTTTTTTTCCCAAAATTGTTTTAGCTATTCTAGTTTCTTGTCTTCCCATATACAATTTAGAATAATCTTGTCTATATCTAGAAAAAAATCTTGCTGGGATTTTGAAAGGATTTATATTAAGCCTGTGTATCAATTTGGGGATAATTGACATCTTTATGTCTTTCTGTTTATTTAGAGCTTTCATTTCTTTCATCAATGTTTTATCATTTTCAACATATAAGCTATGTGCATGTTTTAGATTAATACCTAAGTATTTCTGTCTTTTTTTTTGAGTAATTGTAAATGGTATTGTATTTTTAATTTCAGTGTCTATGTGTTCATTGCTAGTATGTAGATATACAATTGATATTTCAATACTTGTGGGCCGGCCCAGTGGCGCACTGGAGAGTGCGCTGCTTTGGAGCGCGGCGGCGCTCCCACCGAGGGTTCGGATCCCATGTGGAGACCGGTTCCCACTCACTGGCTGAGCACGGTGCGGGCGCAACACCGAGGGTTGCGATCCCGTTGCCGGACCCTGGTATGGGCACGACACCGAGGGTTGCGATCCCGTTACCGGTCAGTAAAAAAGACAAAAAAAAAAAAAAAAAAAAAAAAAAAAAAAAAGGAAAGGATATTTCAATACTTGTATCTTGTGACCTTGTTGAACTTACTTGTCAGTTCTATAAACTGTGTTTTTTTGTAGATTCCTTTGGATTTTCTATGTAGACTATCATGTCATCTGCAAATAAGAACAGTTTTATTTCTCCCTTTTGATCTATGTGCCTTTTATTTCTTTTCCTAGCCTATTACACTAGCTAGACCTTCCAGCACTATGTTGAATAAAAGTACCGAGAGCACACCTCTTTGCTTTGTTTCTGATCTTGGAGCAAAATATTAAGTACTTCATCATTAAGTATGTTAGCTGTAAAATGCTTGTAGAAGCTTTTAATCAACTTGAGGAGGTTCCCCTCTATTCCCAATTCGCTGAAAGTTTTTATCACAAAAGTGCTGAATTTTGTGAAATGCTTTTTCTGTATCATTTATTAAATCATGCGATGTTTTCTTCTTTAGCTTCTTCATATGGTGGATTACATTGATTGGTTTTCAAATAGTGAACCAGCCTTCTATCCCTGGAATAAACCTCACTTGGTCATGGTATATAATTCTTTTTATATATTGCTGAATTCTATTTGCCAATATTTGGTGAAGATTTTTGAGCCTATGTTCATGAATAATATTGGTCTATAGTTCTTTTTTCTTGTACTGTCTTTGGTTTTGGTATTGAGGTTATTCTAGCTTTATTGAATGAATTGGGAAGTGTTCCTTCCTCTTCTGTTTTCTGGAAGAGTTTGTGTAGAATTGGTATTAATTCTTTAAGCACTTAGTAGAACTCTCCAGTGATTGGGCCTGAATATTTGTTTTTGGGGGGAGTTTTTAAGTTATGAATTCAATTTTCTTAATAGTTATAGAGATTACCAAATTAGCTATTTCATATTGGGTGAGTTGTGGTACTTAGTGTTTTTTGAGGAAGTGGTCCATTTTATCTAAGTTGTCAAATTTATGTATATAGATTTGTTCATAGGATTCCCTTGTCCTTTTGGTATCTGCACAGTCTATAGTGATATCCATTTCATTCCTGAAATTACTAATATTTGTGTCTTATCTCTTTTTTCTTTGTCAGTTTTGTTAGAGATTTGTCAATTTTATTGATCTTTTTAAAGAATCAGCTTATTATTTCATTGATTATTCTCTATATTTTTTGTTTTCAGTTTTACTGATTTCTGCTCTTCTCTTGATTTCCTTCCTTCTGCTTGCTTAGAGTTTATTATGCTCTTTTTTCTTCAGGTGGAGCTTAGAGTATTGATTTAATACATTCCCTCTTTTGTAATATAAGCATTTAGTGCTTAAATTTCTCTCTTAGAACTATGTTAGCTGTGTCTCACAGATTTTGATATACTCTATTTTCTTTCAGTTTAATGTGTTTTATTATTATTATTAAATTTCTCCTGAGAGTTCCTCTTTGATCTATGGGTTATTTAAAAGTGTGTTGTTTAGTTTCCAACTAACTGGAGATCTTCCTGTTACCTTTCTATTACTGATTTCTACTTTTGTATGATTTCAGTTCTTTTAAATTTGTTGAGGATTTATTGCTTAGGATATGGTCTGTGTTGCATGGTCACTTGAAATGAATGTGTATTCTGCTGTTATTGGATGGAGTGCTCTACAAATGCTAATTAAATCCTGTTGGTGGATGGTGTTGTTGAGTTCTATATCCTAACTGTTTTTCTGTTTAGTTGTTCAGTCAATTGCCAAGAGAGAGGTGTCGAAGTCTCCAAGGATAATTGTGGATTTTTCTGTTTCTTTCAGGTCTATCAGTTTTTGCCTCACGTATTTTACAGCTCTGTTGTTTAGTGCATACACATTTAGGATTGCTGTGCCTCCTGATAGATTACTTTTGTCTTTATGTAATGTTCCTCTCTGTCTCTGGTAATTCTCTTTGCTCTGAAGTCTACTTTATCTTATATTTTTACTTATTTTTGATTCTCTGATTTGGGGGTTTTATTACTGAGGCTCTTTTTTCCCTCTTTTTTTTTTAGGAATATATTATTCGGGTGCAAAGAGGAATTTCTGCAGAAAACAGCTGGCAGGTAAGCATTTTTTTGTCCATTAGAAAAATGTTTAGGGGCCGGCCCGGTGGCTCGGGAAGTGCGGCGGCGCTCCCGCCTGAGGGTTCGGATCCCACATACAGACCGGTTCCCGCTCACTGGCTGAGCGAGGCGCGGGAGCAACGCTGAGGGTTGCAATCCCGTTGCCGGTCCCCGGTCCGGTACGGGGGCAACACTGAGGGTTGCGATCCGTTGCCGGACACAGAAAAAGACAAAAGACAAAAGACAAAAAAAAAAAAAAAAAGAAAAATGTTTAAACTGACTGAAACCCTGACTTAGGGTACTTAAAAATTTGGAAAAATCAGAACATGCATAAATATAAATCATATTTCTTTTAGCTATAAACCTTTAGCTTTAAGACAAGTATTATGAAAGGCTTTTCTATTCCCAGTTGTTTGGTTAAATTGTGTATGATGTTACCATGGAATATCTAGGAATTTGTTCTCCAGTTCAACCCAGAGCATGTAGGATATGCAAATTACTTGTTTTGTTCCTTGAAATTCAAATTTCCTCCCCTGTAGCCATGGTTCCTGTAGGAGAGGTTAGAGTTCAGTCCACCATATAGAAAGGTCCTGGTTGTTGTAGTTCAGGACACTGCATTTCATGGACTCTCAAGTCTACTCACAGGCAACTTCTATTGCTAGCTCCCTCATGGTCTCTAAGGAAGGTCTTCTTGGGGCCCCAGGCTCTGTTTTTCTCAGTGGTGGCCTCAGAAAGAAAAGACTTTCTGGACAGATCTAGAGGTCCTTCCCATCCTAGTTGACTTGCAGAGGGTGACTTAATTCTGTATAAAGGCCCTTTTCCCCCTTATTTTAGTAATTATAATTACCACACCCCACCCCAACCCAACCATTCCCCTCTTCCAATAATCTTACCTTGTCCTTCACAGCCCAGCTCAAACCTTGCCTCCCACCTTAAGCAGTCTCTCAGTGGCCCACACTCAGTCTTTTCTTTGCCTGAGATTTCAAACTGATTCTTATTTGAATAGTTATTATATTTGACATCTGGTGAGCATTTATTAAGTGTTCAGCACTGGTCAAGCACATTAATTCGTTTAATCCTTTAAAAACAGTCCTATGTGGTAGTATTTATTTTACATTTTACATCTGAGAAGTAGACAACTTTTCTGAGGTCACACTTAGATCACTGGTAGAACAGAGTTGAAATTCCTATATTCTCTATGGTTAATCACTGTATGATCTTTTGCTTCTTTGCTCTCATCAGAGATATTTAACTTTTTTTTATGTGTATTTGGCAAGCAGGGCTAACAGCAATTCCCCACCAGAAAAATCAACCCTTGATGCAGTTTTCTAGACCTACTACATTAGAAACCCGGGGATACTTAACAAAAATGTAGATTCTTGGTCCCCATTTTAAACCTGCTGAATTAGATTCTCTGTGGGCGAGGTTGTAGGGGTGGAAATGTGTGACCCTTTTCCTCACCCATCATAAGGGTTATGGCTGGCACTCCTACAAAAAAGACAGGTTAACAAGAAAAAAAAGCATAACAAAATTATTTAATCAAAGTTGTATGTAACAAGAGAGTCTTTAAAAATAAAGACCTAAAGACCCAGGGAAAATTGTCCATTTTTATCCTCAGATTCAGTGAAAAATGGACAGCTGTGTAGAAATGTGATTGGACAAAAGGGTATGATGTAATGGTAATACACCGAGGGTGAGAAATCCAGGAAGACCTATCTGTTCAGATTGTTCTTGGAATCTTCATGTGGTATTCCTTCCTCCCTGGTATAGGGAAGGACCCCTCTAGAATGAAGGTTTTCAAGCAAAAAGGGAGAGAGTGACCATTGTAGTTGTTATGGCTTGTTTTGGGGGAGAGGGGTTCTGGTTTTTATGACCCCCCTTAGGGAAGAAGGATTCTGGTTTTTACACCTCACTTCAGAGAGAAAGAGAGCTGGGAGACAGGAGGGCAGGAGAAGGTCAGAGAGAGACTTGCTTCTGAGGCTGCTTCTGAGGCCTTCCAGTCTCCTTTAGCTTAAAGTACTCAACCTGCCAAAGTGTCTTATTTTGGAGTATCATTTTCTGAGCCCCAGCAGGGTCCTAGGTGATCTCCAGGTAATTCTTCTTCACTGTACTAACATTTGAGAATCACTAATAAACGTTGAAGTCAAACTATTCAAAAGCAAAATAATTTCCTTGCCCAGAGCCTGACGAGCTAGTATATTTGGCTATGGCGTAATCAATGCTGTTAACACACCTAAGAAAGAATGTGTAGGCAGTGGAAGGTGGACTGTCTGCCTAGAGGGGCAAACCTGGGGAATCAGGGTGAGGTGTGGCAGCTCTGCTTGCAGGTACAGTCCAGTCTCTAGGTTGGTGGGATCTCAGTTCAGGGGAAGTTTTATCCAAGGCAGAGATGAAATGGTCTCAAAACTGTCTGCTTCCTTTTACTTTGATTCCATGCTCAGTAAAGCTTTTATTTTTCCTTTTAAGTCATTAATTCATCTTTCTAGGTACCTGGTTAATAAGAAAGATGTTTGAAGGGTTGTTCGCCCAGAAAACAAATATTCTCACTTACCTGTTGGCATCTTGTGAGTTTTGCTGGCATTGAGCAGTTTCTCATGGCCCAGCCAAGCCTGGGGCACTGTTAAGTCTGTTCCCTGGGCTTAACAAGTTAAACAAGTTAAGCACCAGGTATAAGCCCTACTAACCTTAGCACAAGTACCTCAGCTCTAGAGTGCCAATATTACTAATATTAGTAAACATTAAATAAGGAAATGAAAAGAGATGGTCTTTGCTGAATCAAAACACCACTGTCTTGTCTCTTACAGATTGTTAGAAGATACAGTGACTTTGATTTGCTGAACAACAGCTTGCAGGTAAATGTTCAAACTCCAGTAACACACATTGATTGCTTGGAGTGTCTTAGAAACTGGTTGGAAATGGCAATATCAGGAACAAGAAATTAGAGAATTTCTCTGGCAAAGGAGATAAATTCATACTTTAAACAGATGATGTATAGCTCTAAAAATAAACTTTTGGTAACAAACATGTGGTTTATAATTAATAGTCACCTTACAACTGAGTATCTTTGTGCCAGACTGTATCCTTACCACAATCATGGAATGCTGATGTATTATTATGTCCTTTACACAGATCAGGAATTATTAAGTGGATTGCTAGAATTGTTCACTTATGGAACTGGGACTCTCTCAGACTCTGTCTACTAAACTAGGCTGTGCAGTCAACATTGCGGGTCAGCATTTCAACAGTAAGAGTAGAGACTCAGCATTTTTTGGCTCAACTTGTTTATATTCCTAAATCCATTTGATTTACTTATTCCTAACTCAATGGCCATAGTGGAAAGAAGGATGAGCTGCAAAGTCTGTTTGGAAACACAGTCAGTGCTGGTAATGGTTGAAGGGTCCAAGAGGGGCTTTAGCATCATGGAAGTACTGGCAACACCAGTCATGTCTTCACTCGGCAGACTGTCTTCAAGAGCTGTGGATTGCTGAAGACCACTGGGCTTGTGGCATACCTCAGATTTCAGTGGTAATGTAAAACCCTTTAAACCTGAACCAGAGTGCTTGGCTCATGACCAGCTTAGCCAGCAGGTAAAGGACTGCTCCCTCATTGGCGAGCTAGCCATCATTACTTATTCTGAGTGATCTCTAATCCTGTCCACAAAGGTCAGGAGGACTGAGGGCTGTGAGAGGGGGCATAATGCTTTCTTTTTTTTCAAAAGTCCACATTTTATTGATCAGACTTTAGAAAATAGCATTTGTAGAGTCCAGACTTTAAAATTATTTACAACATTGCTGAAAGCATGAATGCCTTATTTTCATTCTGAAAGAATTGACCCAAGTAGCTGCAAGACCTTTATGTAATTGCCATAATTGTGATGCATTTGACACATGTTTTCTTTTTTTTTTTTGGACCGGTAAGGGGATCGCAACCCTCGGCTTGGTGTCCTCTGCACCACGCTCAGCCAGTGAGCGCAGCGGCCATCCCTATATAGGATCCAAACCCGTGGCCTCGGCGCTAACGGCACCGCACTCACCTGAGTGAGCCATGGGGCCGGCCCTCTTTTTTAAATTTTAGTATGACCAATTTAAATCTCCAGATAGACTATTGGCAGAGATTGAATTCTCCTCATTGACAGGTTTAATTGGTTTCATTTATAGATTTTAATAGCATATTCTTTACATTTAGACAAAAGCTGGACCTGTGATGATATTGTAGATAAGACACGGATGTGCACTTTATTCCAGCAGCAGATTTTCTCCTAAAACTCCTTCTGCCCCGCCAATGCAGTGGCCCATGTGCCATTTCCACAGTGCTATGAGTGTTTGAGAGTTAAAAGTGGTATGAGCATTTGGGAGTTACGATGTGTTTTTGTCTTTGTGCCCAGTATTAAAGAAGGGGGAGTGATCTTTGTACGACGATATTCAGCCACAAGTGGGTAAGAATTGTGGGAGAAATATTTTTGAAATTGAAGTTGCCTAGACCCGGTGCCTGAGAATGGGGGCATGGAGAAGAGGGTTTTATCTCCCATTTGCTCTTACTTTGGGGATATAAGGCTGAATCTCCATGACCATTCATTTATGGCCTTTTTAATATACTAGAGTTTTATTTTTGCTTCAGTGTAATTTTCCCTTTTCAAACAGGCACTCTCAATGTGCATCTTATTTCAAATGCAAATATCCGCATGTATTGATTTTGGCTTGTGCTGTGCAGAATATGGCCAGACATCATTTTAGTGGGAGGTTTTTTTGGATCCAAGTAAACAAACAGAAGGAAGTACATACAGCTTTTTGGCAACAAAATAGTTTCAAAACAACCTCTGTGAAACAGACCAAAAAGACTCCAAAACCACAGAATAAAACTGTGACCATAATTTTCAGTGTTCGATTACCCTTTTGACAAATAAATGAATTCCTGCTGAAGAAAGAGAAATATAATACACATACGCAGAGTTATCTGCATCCAGTAGGAACATGCCTAAGTGGGGAAAAAAAGCAGAATGTAAAATTATACATGCAATATAATATAAATTACACAGAATGTTTAGAAAAAAAGATTGGAAGGAAATATGACAAAATGTTAACAATGGTGATTCCCAGGTGGCAGGATTATGGGTTATGTTTTATTCTGGTTCTTTATACTGTTCTGTTCTTTCCAAGTTCTCTATAAACAAACACATACATGTAAGCTATGTAAGTAAGAAAAGAGAAAAAAGCTGCATTTTTCAAACTTTTAATAGTGAGCATATTTTGTGGTAACAATGAAGAAAAATTACCACCTTATTTTAAACACAACATCAAATTAGCAACCATCAAGGGAGACAGCAGACAATGAAGAAAAGGAAGAAGCAGGCAGTTGAAATGATGGGAACTGGGCAGAGAGGGAAGGAGCCCAGGCCGTGCCCCTGACCAGCACTGAGACCTTGGGTCAGTCGTTTCTACTCTTGGGCCTCACTTTCCCCATCTAAAATGAAGGGGTTGAACTCGACTTCTGAAGTCTCTTAAATAGCACAGATGTCTTGTGATTCTAATTTTAATGGCCATGATTGACCTAGGAGAGACTTTACTGTACTCTGGGGAGAAATTGGGACAAATTGGAAGCTTAGAACTCCCTAGAATACTGACTGGAATATGATAGAAGGCAATTTGCAGATGATTAAGATCTGATGATGGAAGTAAGTTAGGAGAGATGAACAGATTAAGTTTGAAGGTTTTTCCTCCATACAGAAGCTAGTTTTCTTAAAATTGTGGTATAGTTTGTCATGTAATTTAGAGGCTTCTACTAAGCTAGCATAGGTCATATTATGGGCTCTAGACCTCACTTTGGGGATCATTCCCCCTTTGCATTGGCACTCTGTAGTTGTTATGAATGGAACTCTGGGGACTTCTCTGTTGGTGTTCTTGTTTTCTTTTCCTTCTGTAAGGAACTCAAGAAGGGAATTATTAGGGTACGTTAAAGAGGAAAGGAAGTAAAAGTGAGATGATGAGGTATCCTGGCTTGAAGTCATCAGTATTGATGTGTCTCTGAAATCAGTGGCTTGGTGACTTTATCACTCTGTGTGCTAGTATTCTTTTTCCCTTCCTTCTTGTTAGTCATTGGAGTTCTAAATTTTACATTCTGTGATTGGTAAGCATTTTAGAAATTCTAGGAGAGAACTGAAAGAGAAAAAAGTGTCTCTTGAATACTAACCTTTTTTAAAGGGCAAGATTTTAAAATAGCACACATGTTGCATAGTTTTAGTACTTTCAGGAATATTTATTATGAGATCTTAAATTAGGGGAGGAAAACCACCCCCAGTCTGTCTGATATAACAGGGACACTATAATCTCAGCTGTTGGCAAAAGAACTATTTGTTTCACTTGATGGTATGGAAGAACTGATAGGAAGTCTGGGCAGATCAGTACCTTTTCCTCAAATGAAAGGAAGCTTGAAAAAATAGATTGGTTGAAGTTTGGAGGCCATAAAGTTCAAAACAGATACTTCATCAAATTTATTCTCAATCTCCACTGTGAATGAAAAATGGCCAAAATATATTTTCTGGTGAATCCGATGTCAGATGTGACTCCACTCTGAGTGATGTGGGATTCAGTTGGGTCTGCTGCCATGCAGACTCATCTGTTGATTCTGGTTAATGGCATTTTTTTTTTTATCCTCGCTGCATTTACTGTCATTTTGATAAGCAAAAGGAGCTTTCTTTTTTAATTGAAAAAAAAAAAGTAGTAAATGGGCATTGTAAACATTTCATAGTGGAGAAATAAAAATTAATTAACAAACCTGCTCCTAGAGGTGGCTATTGTTAAGCATTTGGTGTGAGTCCTTTTAGACATTTTTGTGCTTATATAACCATAATCCTGGGCTTACGCGCGCACGCACACACACACACACACACACACACACAACATACAGATAAATGAGATTATCTTCTGCAACTTCATTAAATAGTTTTAGAAAGGGATACATCAATTGTGGTTTAGGTGATATGTTACCCTTGATTTAATACTTTGTGCCTCTGAACAAAAAATAAAGTGACTGGCTTGGATGTGTAGTAGCTGAGTGATATGCTTTTTTCGTATCTTCATATTTCTTTAGTTAATAAAGAAACTGTTACTGGGTAAAGTTGAATTGTATGAATGAGGAAAACAACCTGAAATTTAAGTGTCTTATCTGGCAATGAATTATGCCATGATAGAAAATTCACTCTAAGTATGCTCTAACATATTTTCATAATGATGTTGGAGAAATAGGCAATTTAGAATTGTCAGCTGATCTTTTTATCTTGTCCAGTATCAAGTTCAAGGTCTTCATTTGGCTGTATCATTGTTTGAAAAATACGGAGTGGAACAATCGTAAGTAGGTTTGCCCACGTGAATGGTTTAGATTACATTCTTTTTTGAATTCAAGATGCCCTTCTCTTTAGACCTTACCCTCAATCAATACAAATGCCACTTGGATTGCTCTAATATAAGCACAAATGTAGAATAGCACTACTGTTTGAAAGTGACTTTGCTCATTAAATCAAAGTGCCCATCTGATGCTTTGATTTTTTTTTTTTTTCCTTTCTGTCTTTTTTTCGTGACCGGCAACGGATCGCAACCCTCAGTGTCGTGCCCGTACCGGACCGGGACCGGCAACGGGATTGCAACCCTCGGTGTTGCTCCCGCACCTTGCTCAGCCAATGAGCGGCCGGTCTGTATGTGGGATCTGAACCCTTGGCGGGAGCGCCGCTGCGCTTCCCAAGCGGTGCACTGTAGCAGTGCGCCACCGGGCCGGCCCTGATGCTTTGATTTTTAAGTTTAAAAAATAGACTCATGGACCAGCCCGGTGGTGCACTCGGTAGAGTGCAGCGCTTGGGAGCGCAGCGGCGCTCCCGCCAAGGGTTTGGATCCCATATAGAGACCGGTCCGCTCACTGGTTGAGCGCGGTGCGGGTGCGACATCGAGGGTTGCGATCCCATTGCCGGTCATGGTACGGGCGCGACACTGAGGGTTGCAATCCCGTTACCAGTCACGAAAAAAGACAAAAAAAAAAAAATAGACTCATAAGTTTCCCCATTTTAGAAGTAAGCAAAGGACAAAAAATTAGTTCCGGCCCAGGCACAACACCAGTGCCTCAGGCCAGCCAGGGGACCTGAGGCATGGATTGGGGACTGGACTCCCCCACCCACAACCAGGCACACCACCAGCACCAAGGAGCATGCCAAAAACATCACCTCCATGTGGGTGGCCCACCACAGCCACCACAGTAACCACAGCTGCTGTGAAAGTGGCTAGATGTCACAACCACCATGCAGATGGTCCACCAGCCACTGAAGTGCATCAACACAAGGAGAGTCACCAGCAGAGACCAAAGAAAAGAAGAGGATGTCTCTCTCCACAAAGCCCATTCCAGAGTGACAGAAGAAGCATCTGCTCTATGATAATATTGGGGGACCTGAACACAGATCTCAGCATTGGACAGATCATCTAGGCAACAAATCAACAGAGTAACCATTACTCTTTCAGAAGGAGAGAAGAAATCTAGGGTTATCAGTGGTGGGACAGGGGAGGGAGAGGGAGATAGGGAAAGATTGGATGAGGGGCATAAAGAATAAGTGTAATTTGTAACAACATGTATATCCTAGTAATATTGATTTGATCAACATATGTCAGCATTGAACCCCCAAAATATGTATAATCAATTATGATTCAATAAAAAAATACAGTAAAAAAAAAAAAAAGACTCATAAAGTTTTTTTTTTTTTTGTTTTTTTTTTTTTTTTTTTTTCTGACCGGTAACGGGATCGCAACCCTCGGTGTCGCGCCCGTACCGCGCTCAACCAGTGAGCGGACCGGTCTCTATATGGGATCCAAACCCTCGGCGGGAGCGCCACCGCGCTCCCAAGCACCGCACTCTACCGAGTGCGCCACCGGGCCGGCCCAGACTCATAAAGTTTTAAATGATCTGGAGAATGATAGTAGATTGAGCACCTACATTTACTTTTCTTCCCTCCCCAAACCACTCTAAAACAACAGTAACGTGATTTTACACACACACACACTCACTCCCTCGCCCTCACCCTCACCCTCACCCTCAAAAACAAATAGGAGAGGAGAAAAAAACTACAACAAAGCATTTTAGGCTGCAAATTCAGTGGATGAGATCTAACTAATTAAGCATATATGGGAAGCAGAGTTCTGAGATGGGAAGCAGATAATCTCATTGGGTCCCAATTTTCATCACAGAACCTCCCAGATGTTCAGCAATTGGCAGCACCAATGGGCTGCCTCCAGAGTAGGGTGAAGTTCAAGCTAAAATCAGGAGTTTGAAAGTCTAAGAAGTAATCAGATCCTCAAATCTCTGAGCAACTTATGCTTTCCATCATCCCTCCAGCAAAAAAACTGGAAGTTTAGTCTCTGGAGAGGATAAAACAGTCTTTAGACTGGGAAATGCAGGTACGGTTGAACACATCTACATAATGTGTATGACCACCCCCTCTTCTCCCAGCCTTCTTATTCCTCTCAGTTCCCAGAATTCTGGCAGTCAGGCATAGACTCTCCAGGCAGGAGATTGCAAGAAACTTTTCTGGGGAATCTGCCCAGCATAAGAGGATAGAGCTAAAGGTTCCTCCAATGAAATAGCTGAGTGGGGTTATCTGGTAAAGCCCACAGTAGATAAGCCTCAGGCATCACTCAGAGCTTCCAGTTAGATTTTGGTGCTCTACTCTTAAATATAAGCGACAACCAAAGATCACCAGACTCCCACTAAGAATACTTTTTGTTTGTTTATTTTAAATGTTTTTATTGGATTTGACCTTTATTTAAGGGATATATATATAGATATATAACTAGACTGATCAGCTGCTAATATATTGTGGTATTCCTTGATTTTTGTACCTAAGAGCCAGTTCAGTTTTTTTCCATGTTCAATACTTATTTTTGGTAAAATTTTTCCATGTTCTTCCTCATCAGTTACTGAAGTATTAGTGTTTCCACCCTGCTTGATATAAGTTTTTCTTTTAGTTTTCTTCCTGTGGGTCTGTTTTGTAGGAGTCTTCTGTTTTTTTTCTCAATTTCACTGCTCACATCCCACAACATTATCTTCCCATGATTTCTGGCAGAGAGTGGACCTGGGATACCCCCAAAATGTGGCCCTTAAATCCCAGTTCTTGTTCATGCTGGACTCCCACTAAGAAACACTTTTAACATCAAAGATAGTGATGAAAACAGATAAGAAAAAAAGGAACCTTCAGGAAGCAGAAAGTATGCCCTAAGAAGAATGTTTCAGGCACTTCAGAAAAGCTATCTTTTATTGTCTCATAGAGATAAGAAATTGTGTCATATTCAGGATGCTACATTCAAGATGCTATTAAGAAAAAAAAAGAATAGAAAAGAGCATTAAAAAAGAAGATAGTAGGAATGAAAACTCTTTAGAAGGGTTGAAAGATAAAGGAAATATTCTTTAAAAAAAAAAAAAAAAGGGAAATAGGAGAGAACAGATAAGAAAATTAGAGGACCAGAAAATAAAAAGAAAAATAAACAACAAAAAAAGAAAATTAGAGGACCAGTCCAGAAGGTCCAACATTGAAAAATAAGAGTTCCAGAAAAAGCAGAGGGCATGAAAGGGAAGAAATAATAACATAATACAAGAAAATACCAAACTGTTTAAGGATATTAGTTTCTAGACTGAAAGGGCCAAGGGCTCAGTACAAAGGACAAAAATAGACCCACATAAAGGCACATGAAATTCACAAATTGAGGTCACAGAGAAGATTCTGAAAGCTTCCAGGGAGAAAAAAAAAAACAAAAACAACAACAATAGAAACCAGGATCAAGAATCAGTATGCTTGGACCTATACAAGCAGCACTGTAAACTAGAAGACAATAAAATAGTTCTTTAAAATTGTGAAGAAAAAGTATTGCCGACTGAGAATTCTACATAAAGAATAGCTGTAAGTCAAGTGTGAAGGGAGAATAAAGACATTTTTACATATGCAAGGTTTCAAAAAATTTATTTCCCTTGCTGCCCTTTTTATTTAAATTAATTAATTTATTTTTGGTGGCTGGCTGGTTACAGGGATCTGAACCCTTGACCTTGGTGTTATAAACACCTCACTCTCCCAAGTGATCTAACCGGCCAGCCCTGCTCCCTTTTTTAAAGCTGACATTGGGTATGTTCCACCCAAAACAAGGTAATTATGTAAGAAAAGGGAAGGTGGGATATAAAATGGGGTTCAGCAGGGGAAAGGCAAATCATCTCTAGGGTGAAGATAAGAGAGGGCCCAGGATGCCAGCTTTGCAGCAGTGCAGCGACCACGAGTCCTGCTTGGAGCAGGTTGGTGGGCTCTGGAAGATACTCTCCAAAAGAGAAAATTGGTTTATCAGTGTGTTGAGAGAGGGCATGGATGGAGAGTGTGGAGTTGAATAGAAAACTGGAAAAATAGACTACAAGTTGTTGGAAAGGAAAAGTAAGCATGGCTCTTTAGCTCAGTCTTGACTATCATTCACCTAATATACACATGAATGTTGTACTAAATAAAATTATAATGTAACAATATTGGGAGGATTGGTATAGGTTGTGTGGGTTAAGGTCAGGATTGTGAAAGAGAACTTAATCCTCATCTTCCGTAACGGGAAATTTACAGATGATGCCTAAAAATGAAAAATTGAGACATAACAATATGAGCATTCCCTAGTGCCAAAAGATCAGCTGTAACAATTGAATGTGGCTGTCTCAGGGGAGTGGAGAACTCCCTGGATATGTCACCTGTTGGCAGGGGTAGTGGGGGGTATGTCATGGGACTGGCAATAATAATAACTACTTGTTGAAATGATCATGTATAAACTTTAGTAAAAATAAAAATATATTTAAAAAATAAAGTTATAAAGTTATTATGCTTAATACTGTATTTTATCAATTTTAAGATGCATAGTCTTTTTTCACATTTTTCTATTATCACTGAAATTAGAATGTATCTTAAAGTCTGTGTTGTCTTAGATTTAATGAAATGTAATGGTTCAGGATTCTGATACTGAATCTTATCTGTGGATAGCATGAATATAATCCTTTTTTTTTTTTTTTAAGATTGCAGGCCTAAGTCTACCTCTTCCTCCCAAAAAATTGATTGGTAACATGGATCGTGAATTCATAGCTGAGAGGCAGAAAGGTCTTCAGAATTATCTCAACGTTATCACCACAAATCATATCTTGTCTAATTGTGAGCTGGTTAAGAAATTTTTAGATCCAAACAACTATTCTGCAAACTACACTGGTAAGCAAAGGGATCTATGAGCTATAGCCATTTAACTCTTCATGGCTACAATCATATCTTGTCTAATTGTGAGCTGGTTAAGAAATATTTAGATCCAAATAACTATTCTGCAAACTACACTAGTGAGCAAAGGGATCTCTGAGCTATGGCCATTTAACTCTTCATGGCTAAAGGGTTATTGTACTTTGCTAGAGATAATGTATGTGGGAGAAACTCTACTTCCAAGTGGGGAAATGTGCTTATTTGTTATAGGGTATTATTTACTTACTGAGACTTATTTGATTGTAATTTATAGTAGATGTATAAGAAGAAAATAATTTACTTCCAAAAGGTTGGTAATGTCCTCACAGAAAAATATGGAAGAGAAATTATCCTGTCTATGTGTTTATAGTCTTGTCTTTAGAGGGTAAATAATCCACAATAATGTATAAAGTAATCTCAATTTGATTTGTATTTGGCTCTTTTTTTGTATTTACAATATACAGTGTGTCTGGTTTTTCTAGGAACTTACTTTAAACACAACAGTGATTCGGAAGGGTCCTTTCTGTCTTTCCATTTGTTCCCTGAGACCTACTCCCTGCAAAGCACAGGAGCTAGTTCTCTTCCAAATCTTCCCTGGATCAGGCCAGCTGCCAGGGGACTGAGGTAGAATGGGCCTCTCTTCCAATACCGATTACACACAAAGCCAGCATCAATAACCTAAGCCTGATGTCAGCAGAATGAGGAACTAAATATTTTATACACTCTGGTGTGGCCTTGAAGAGACCAATAGAAACCATTGTATAATTGAATCAATGAATAGAATTCAACTGATTTGTTAGAGCTAAATCATGCTAAGAGGCTTTCTAAGTGGAGTTCTCGGTATTGTTAATTTCCTTGCTAAGAGAATAGAGATGATTGTATTGGATAATTGGGTCCTCAAAGCATTCCTTTTGAAGTAGAGAGAGGCACTTTTTATTCCTCTTTCAGAGAGGGGAGAAGTAGAGGTGTACTTCTCAGGCACCAAACTTTCTGCATACTACAACCACCTGGGGAGCTTTAAAAAATCCTTATGCCCAGGCTGCATACATGTCAATTAAATCAGAATCTCTGGTGGGGCTGGTAGTTTGTAAAGCTTCCCAAGTGATTCCAGTGTGCAGCCAAGTTTGAAAACCAGAGCCCTTGAGGCTTACTATTCACAGTGTGGTTCTCTGGCCAGCAGAATTGGCTTTACTAAGAGCTTGTCAAAAGTGCAGAATTCAGGCCCCCTCCCAGACTTACTGAATCAATCTGAGCTCAACAAGGGCCGCAGGTGATTTGCATGCACATTAAAGTGTGAGAAGCCTTACTCTATAATGTACCTGCCATTTTCTAATGGAAATGCTCTGCAGGGCTAAGGAAAATGTCTTTCCAGAATATAACCAAGAGAAGGAAAGTTTATTTCAAACTCACACTTACTATAAGTTACAAAATGAGTTGTTACTAGGATCCCATTCTTTCCGCTTGTCTTTTGGTTTGCATAAGAGAAAAGACATCACAGATAAGACTGGAGTTCGAAGACTTGAGACAGCTCAAATTCTGTCAGAGTAACATCTTTTGTGGCTGTTATTTCTCCATGTTTCACCTTGAGTGTTCCCAAAATTGTCAGACAGCAGGCCATCTGAGTTGACTTATCAAATCAGCCCTAACCCGCCCTGTTCAGTGGTTTTGTCTACATTAATTCTTGAGAGTGTCTGCCTATGTGCTCCTGAGGGCAAGCATCAAGGTGTCATGCACTAGTAATGATGCCATTTATTCAACAAACATTAAACACCTGCTATGCCATGTGCAGGGCTGGGTGTTGGGGATACAGCCGCGAAGCAGACGCACTCCCTGCTCTCAGGGAGCTTGTGCCAGAAGTACATTGAGTCACATGGCGCCAGAGCTACAAGGAATCTTCAAGGAGACATATCAAGACTAACCCTTTCATTTTATAGATGAGGAAACTCAGGTCCCCAGAGAAGGAGGGTGTAATGGATTGAATGTCCCCCCAAATGATTGAAGCTTGGATTGTGTCCCCCAAATTTTATGTATTAGAAACTTGGTGGCGGGGGAGAGAAGGAAAGGGGGAAAAGGAGGAATTGGTAAAGGGACACGAAAATCTACTACATTGTATATTGATAATTTAAAAAAGAAAAAAAAAAAAGAAAAAGAAACTTGGCCCCCACTGTGACTGTTGGGAGGGTGGGAAATCCTTAAGGTAATTGAAAGGTGGGGCCGTGGGCAGGCGATTAGATTGTAGGACCACGCTGTAGTAAATGGATTAATAATGGTGGTCAGGGCGTGGTTCTGAGGGCTTTGAAAGGAGAGTGAATGAGAGGTTGGTCTCTTGCTCTCTCTGCTTCACCATTTTCGTCCATGTGAGACCCCTGGGTCACTGTCACCGCCATCAAGACCCTCACCAGATGTGTTCCCTGGACTTTGGACATCCCAGCCTCTGAAAAGAAATTTTGGTTTCTTTATATAATTCCCGGTTCCATATATTTTGTTATACGCAACGGAAACGGACTAATACAGAGGGCCTTACCCAGGGTTACACGTTTGTGTGATCGTAGTCTGGTCTATTTTCATGTTAAAATGCTATGTGGCCCCTGGAAGGTTGGCTGGTCTCTGTATTTTCTTCCATTGTACCTCCCCCACATGCTGTTATTGTCCTCGATCTTTTGCCTCTCGCCCCCAGCGTGGCAGACGGTCAGGAGTCCAAAGCAGATGTGGGCAGGGGTATAAAAGACCACCCAAAATTCTTGCCAGAACCCGAGCCAGCTACTGTTTAGAGGGCACAGTCCTGTAATGAAGTAATAGGTATGATGCTGTTTTCAGAGATGCCAGTTTATTTCCCCCTTTGATTGAAATGTCAGAACTTGTCTCTAGGCTGATTCAGCAGCTGCCTCAGGAAAAGGAAGTGTAGGCTGCCACCTCCGTGCCAGCTTGACTGAACCCTTCCTGAAATTCACAGCATGGCCTGTGGTTCCCTAAGTGTACTCTACACACCTCCCAACTTCTGGCACTTCTCTAATCTGGCCCACTTTTCCCTTTTGATGTGGACAATGTCTCTGCCTCTTCATTTCCCAAATGGTCTGTGGTCACTACCCAGCTTCAGCAGGATTGGAGTTCTCTGTTCAAGTGGTGGCGAAAATCAACACAGCCATTTTTCCTGCTTGCTGCTCTGACTAAGGTTGAGGGTGCCTTATTAGAGAGGGACTGTGAGGCCATCCTGTTCCCCAGGAGTTGGGTAATCAGGAGCTCTCAGGACATCAGCAGCCACCTCTCTCCTCCCTGGGTCCACAGCCTGGGATGGCTGGATCTTTCTTTTTATTCCTGGTTTTCTCCAAATAACCAAATCCACAGAAAGGAAGCGTAGGCCTTTGGTCTTCTGTGGGGGGTATTCATTTGAGGTGTTGTGAGGTGTTCATTTGAATTAGAAAGTGTAATTGAGAGCCAGCTATTGTACAGAGAAAACAGGTGTCTTCCAGTCATGAGGAGAGTGAGCTGAGAATCCCCCCAACCTGTTCCCCACCTGCCCCCCACCTTATTCATCTTATTAACAGGGCACTTTCTACCATTTAAAAGCCTCACTGTGCTATATCCATCTTACCACTTTAAACTTCAGACACACTCAGCATAAGGGGGATTTAATGTCCACACAAAAGTCATTTAGACCAGAAATCAGGAGGCCTGGATCCTGGTTCCAGCTTTGTCATTAGCAGCATTTCCTGTCTGGGTCCTATCCTATAAAACAAGAGGTTGGGGGGCAGGGGTGGGGGAATGAACCAGATAACTTCCCTTCTAGTCCTAAAACCCCAGCAATCCCTTGAATATGTTGGATAGTAGAGGGCTCCAGGATAAAAGCAAGGTGGGATTGGGGGTGGGGAATTATTTTTAGAACAAGACCAGGATGTTTTGGAAAGTTGGCAGGGCTCTCTTTAACACAACTTGCTGTAGTAGACTGGGGGTCTGGACCCCGGCTGCAGGAGGAAACAGTGTTTGTTTCTTGTAGTCACCCCACGGGGCTGGGATCTAGGAGTTCAAAGACTGCACAAAGTAGGGGCACCTGGTACATCTGAGCTCTGTGGGAAGCACAGGATGGACTTGAAGGCTTCACTCTACATTTCCTGTTTCAGGCTTGTTTATCAGCACTTACTGACACATGACAAAAAGACAAAAAATAAATAAATAAATAAATAAATAAAAAATAAAAAAGAAGAAAAAAAGCATAACAAATTGATTTTATCAAAGTTTTACATGGCATGAAAGCCTTCAGAAATGAAGGTCCAAAGACCAAGGGAAAACTCTGTTTTTTTTTTTTTTTTTTTTTTTTTTT